CATGATCATCATCATCAGCATCATCATCAGCAGCATCATCATAATCATCATCATCATCACCACCATCGGCTCATTATCATAATCATCATCATCATCATCATCAGCATCATCATCCCCATCATCATCAGCATCAGCATCAGCATCATCATCAGCAGCAGCAGCATCATCATGTTCATGATCATCATCATCAGCAGCAGCATCTTCATCATTCTCATCAGCAGCAGCAGCATCATCTGCATCTGCATCAGCATCATCATCAGAATCAGCATCATCATCATCATCGTCGTCACCATCATCATCGTCGTCATCACTATCATCATCAGCATCATCATCATTACCATCATCATCAGCAGCATCATCAGCATCATCTTCATCAGCATCATCAGCAGCAGCATCAGCATCGTCAGCATCATCATCATCAGCGTCATCAGCATCGTCATCATCATCATCATCATCATCAGCAGCAGCATAATCATCATCATTTCAAGCATCAGCATCATAATCGCCATCGTCAACCACATCACAATTATCATTATCATCAGCAGCAGCAGTATCAGCATCAACACCAGCATCATCATCATCATCATCATCATCATCGTCATCATCATCACCATCATCAACAACCACATATACCAATGTCACCATAAACATCACCAACCGCCATCATCATCAGTATCATCATCAACATCAACATTCTCATCATCCTCGTCATCTTGATCATCATCACCACGTCAGCATCCCGGTCATCATCAGCAGCAGCAGTATTATCATGATAGTAATCACCAGAACCATGATCATCATCATCTGCATCATCAGTTGTCCCGCGCGCGAAGACAGCCCGATCCACTGCCCCTCAAAAGGGGGCTATCCCCATCGCAACTCCGCTGAGCAGTGGCGACCGCAAGGCACTGAAAGCAAAATCGTGCAATGGCCCTGGACTCGGAGACAGAACAAACAAGCCGGCAAGTAGGAGGCTGCGCACCAGACTCACCCAAGCTCGGCCCGAAGAGAGCAGCAGCAAGTACTATCATCATGATCCTCATCATCAGCATCAGCATCATCGTCATCATCATCATCCTCATCATCATCAGCATCATCATCATCATCATCATCATCATCATCATCGTCACCCGTTGTATCATCATCAACATCACAATCATTCTCATCATCATCAGCAGCACCATCATCATCATCATCATCACCAACACCACCGTCATCATCATCATCATCATCAGCATCAGCATCGCAATCATCATCAACGCCATCAACATCAACCTAATCGTCATCAGCATCAACATAATCAGCATCATTAGCGTCATTTATCATCAGCAACAACATTGTCATCATCATCAGCATCATCATCGTCGTCATTACTGCCATCATCGTCAGCATTATACTCGTCAGTATCCTCATCATCATCATCAGCATCATCATCAGCAGCATCATCATCAGCATCATCATCACCGTAATCAGCACCATCATCGTAATATTCAGTAACATCAACAGTAGCAGCATCATCATTAACATCATCATCATCATCATCATCATCAGCAGCAGCAGCAGCAGCAGCATAACCACCACCAGTATCATCATCAGCATAATCATCACCATCACCATCACCATCATGATCACCACCCCATCACCATCACCATCACCATCCTTCATCCTTCATCCTTCATCATCATCGATGAATTGATCGCCCTAAGCCTAAGAGGGCTCCCGAACTCTCAAGATGACCCTAGGAACTCCTGAGAGGGTCCCAAGCGGGGCTCAGAAGAGGGATCCCCAGAGGGATCCCCAGATCCGCTCAGATCGAGAGCAAGCTCCAAAACGCCCTCCGGAAAGAACCCCCAGAGGATCCCGAGGCCACCGAAAGGCCCCAGGAACTCCCAAGAGGCCCTCAAGGGGCCTCCAAGAGGCCCCTGAGAGAAGCCCCACAAAAGACCCCAACAGTCCTCCGGTCCATGGGGCGAAGGCCACTACATCCGCCCCGATGCCTGCCATGGAGGTGTTGGCGTGCAAGCTTGTGCGTATGTGTGTGTTCTCTCTGTGTGCACCTTCGAGCAGGTTCCCTGTGGCCTCCGGCCGCACACGCCAACCCCGCAGAATCCATAGGAAGCGGCACCTCCCAACGCCTGTTCCGAGTCCAAGCCAGCCCAAAGACGCCTCCACAGCGGTCCAATAGTCTCCCTAAGGCGCCGCAAAAGGGCGGCTCAAAATCCGTCACTTCCGATGGCTTTTCAGGAGAGGGCGGAGGAGGGAGGAGAGTGGAGGGAGAGGAGGAGGAGGAGGAGGAGGAGGAGGAGGAGGAGGAGGAGGAGGAGGAGGAGAGGAGGAGGAGGAGGAGGAGGAGGAGGAGGAGGAGGAGGAGGGGAGGGAGGGAGAGGAGGAGGGGGAGGAGGAGGAGGAGGGAGGAGGAGGAGGAGGAGGAGGAGGAGGAGGAGGAGGAGGAGGAGGGCGAGGAAGGAGGAAGGAGGAAGGAGGAAGGAGGAAGGAGGGAGGAGGAGGAGGAGGGGGAGGAGGAGGAGGACCACAAGAAGGCCCAAGGGGGCCGCAAGGCTGCCCAAGAGCTCCCGGAGACAAGCCCTAGGCGGCCCTGCAGGGCCCCCCACGAGAGCCCAAATAGCCTCCACAGGCGCCAGACGGGCCAGGATCGCCATCCGACAGGCCCACCGAGCCCCAGGAGGCCCCCGGGAAGCCCCAGGAGAGCACCAGGGGGCCGCAGGGGGGACCCAGGCCAGGAGGCCGCAGGAGGCCGCAGGGGGGCCCCAGGAGGCCCCCAGGAGGCCCCCAGGAGGCCCCCAGGAGGGCCCAGGAGCCCAGGACGCCACAGGACGGCCCAGGAGGGCCCCAGGAGGCCCCCCCCAAGAAGGCAGGGAAGGCCCGGCAGTTGCCCGAGACCAGGCCCAGCACGGCCCCAGAGGGCGCTTCCCCGGTGCTCCCCCTGCGGTTCCCACAACGGCTGGGGGAACACGCGGTCCGCTAGCGTGGTTGGATGTTCGGTCTACAGTCGGCCCGTATCATAAGGATGCACGATAAGGATGCAAGGGCCTCGGACGCCCTCTTCGAAGCTTCTCGAGCGGGGCGCGGCCGACAAAAGTGGCCAAGGATTGACCGAGGAGGCAAGGATGCAAGGGTACCCTTCCGAAGGTTGCCCATCCGTACCCTGCGAGTTGACTGTACGTTTCACGGCACGGGCGTCTCCAACAGGCGCTGGGCGGTGTCGACTCGCGGGGGGGGGCTCCTTAGAGATCTTCGCCCTCGCATGGAGGCCGCCACTGTCATTTGCTCATGCGCCTCGTTTCCGCCTCTTGCCGCTCGAGCCACTATCTCTTCAAGGTTGGCGTAACAGGACGCAATGCGTAGGTCGGCCATGTCCTCCTGTAGGCGAATTCTGGAGGAAAACCAAAAATTGTCTGGACATACCCACAAAGAATGGAAACATCGTCCCCAGGCCATGCTTTGACTGTGTTTGAACGCTCCTCCTATAGAGGGACGTGTCCGCCTTAGCGCAGTGCCTCCTGGACTCTCAGACGAGAGGCTCGACGCCGTGCCACGGCGGCACGCGCGGAGGGCGGCTCCCCGGTCTCTCGGCAGGAGGCTCTGGCGGGAAACGCCATGGAGCTTCACCACCCTGCCTCTGGCAGGAGCAGGAGGAGGAGGAGGAGGCGGAGGAGGAGGAGGAGGAGGACCAGGAGGAGGACCAGGAGGAGGAGGAGGAGGAGGAGGAGGAGGAGGACCAGGAGGGCCCTCCCAGATCTCACGGCCGCAAGGACGCAGAGGCGTCAGAAAGAGTGTGCAGAGGGACTCGGGAGCAGCGGCCTCGGCACGGGAGGGTGTGCTGCAGCCTCGCGGGCGCGTCCTGGGACTAATCTGGCAGCCCCTCCGCCTCATCAACCTTATCCCTCCTCGTGTTCCTGCGCTACGTCCTCCCGTTCCGCTTCTCCCCTCCACCTCCCCCTCCCCCTCCTCCTCCTCCCTCCCCCTCCTCCTCCTCTCCTCTCCTCCTCTCCTCCTCCTCCTCCTCCTCCTCCTCAAGCTCCTCCTCCGAAATAATGAAACTATACTATATGAAAATTACTCTCCTCTCCTCTCTCCCATGACTCTGTCCGGAAGATGTCCCGCCCTCTCCGCATGTAATTCTTCACACACTGGATTTCAAACGAATGATTGTATGGTGCCTTCCTATCCGATCGTTCCCCATCCTTTGAAATGGTGTTCCCGCTGCAGCGCTGGCCTCATTCCCGCGATTATTTTCCTTTGAAATCGTGTTCCGACTGCAGTGTTGGTCTTATTTCCACGTTTTCCGTGCTACCGCATGCTGCTCCCTCTGCAACGCTGGCCTCATTTCCACATGTTCGGTATTTCAAAATGTGGTTCCCACTGCTGCACCGCCCTCACCTCAAAAGTGCCGGCCCTCCAGCATGATGCTTCGGCTGCACAGTTAATGCAGCCATGGCATGAGCGTCAGTGCTATGGTACGTACAGCTAGTCTGCCATGTCATGCCCTGCTCTGCCATGTTACGATATGTAGTGCTGGATTACGTCGTACCATACCGTGCTATACTGTCCCGTGCAATGGCATGCCGTCCAATGCGATGCCATGCACCACGATGCCATGTCACGCCTTGCGCAGCAATGTTATGATAAGCAATGCTTGACTCTGATAGTTCACACCATGGTCTGCCATGTTACGCTCTGCCGTGCTCTCCTACGCCATACTCTGCAACGCTATGTATCGCGCACCCTTTGGGGGTAAGTGTCCTCTTCGACATTCAGCTGTGCGAATGGAGACGTGCTCTACGCAGTGGCAAGGAATGGGAGGGAGGGGTAGGACGTCAGACATGACGCGAGCGCGCCTAGCTTGTCCTCATCCTACCTCTTATCTCAACTCTCATCATCCTCCTCTTCATCCTCCTCCTCATCCTCCGTCTCCCCCCGCAACGTAAGCTCGAGCGCCCTCACTGCATCTTCTTCGCGCCGACAATCTTCTCCTGGCCAATTGCCGAGAGCACGGCTACGAGGATGGAATCGCCGTCTTCCTGCATTTTCATGATGTCCTCCACCACCTTCGAAGAAAAACAGCAAATACTCCGAGCTGGTCAAGAAGCGTAGGGGGTGGATCGCGTGGGGGTAGGAACGAGCTGTCCGTCCCAGGGCGTAGAGCGGTTGGGCGGCGTCACAGGGTGGGTTCGGTGCGAGTGGAGGGCGGGAACGGGCCGTCGGACAGGGTGGCGTGGGTGGAGGCCCCTGAAACCATCCAGAATGCACATAAACTGTCGGACGTCCGCGGATGGCGCGCAGGAACCTTCTCCTCCTCGCCGCCCCACGAATGCCCTTCTCGGCGGCGACGGTAGGGGCGAATAGCCCAGGGGCGGACATTACGCGTATCCGCCCGAGAGTCTTTTCGAAGACATAGATCATCGACGCATCTGAATACATGTATTGCTCTCCCCTGAGCTATTCGCCCCTGTCGTCGCCTCTGACCTTCGGACGGTGGGGTGGGGGCGGGGAGGAGGGGCGGCGCAGTGGCCGTCAGCGGACGTCCGAACGTTTCCGTGTACATAATTTTGGTTGTCTAACCTTCTTGTCTTCATCGGTTGGCTCACCCGTAGTCACGAAGGTGGGCAAATTCAGGTCGTCCTTCGTCTCGCCAGACTCCAGGAGCAGGCTAACTTCGCCAGTTTGATCGTCAGCAGAAAGAAGCTGGTACTCCGTGCGTTTCGTGAAGGGGATCTCCATGTTGTGCGACGTGGGGCACAAGTCCTCGTACTTCTTTCCCGTGAAGATGTCCAGCGCCACGATGTGGGCCTTCGCGTGCCCGTGCTTGCCCGTCTTCGACGTGGAAATCTCGGCCACCTTGCAGGCTTTGCCCTTGATCATCACCATCGAGCCCTTGCGAAGCTCTCCACACTGCTGCGGGTATGTGTGCGAGGATCCCGACTCGGTCGTCTCGAACGTGGGCTCGTCGTCGTCCGCCATGGCTCGCTTGCGCTCAAGGTTCAGGCCTCCTTTTAGGCCGCGACAGGCTCGGCAACTGGACAGCTGGAGCCAACAAACAAAATCAGCATGCCCGCGTGTATGTGTGTGTGCACGCGCTCGTCTACGCATGCGTCTGCGCGAACGCGTGCGCATGCGTATAGACGTGCACGTGGAAGTACGCGTGTGCCCGTGCACGCGTGTGCGCATGAGCGCGTGTTTGAATTATCGCGCGTGCGACTGCATGTGCTGTGTATCGTTGCCGCAGTATGCATCGGTGATGCGATCAGAAGCAATACTGACCCATGCTGACGAAAAGGAAATGCACAAAGTAGGACCGATGCCAGCAAGTCGACGCCAACCGCAGACACGAGATACGTCAGCCATCACGGCCTGTCTGCGTGTATGAACGCGGTCTTGCGCGCCACATCCGCCCAGAACGAGCGCTTTGGCGGCCTCAGGAAATGCGAGCAGACGGAATGAACTGTTGCAAAAACATGATCGCCTCACAGCTGTCGGACCGGGCGCCCTGTTGCCAGCGCAGCGCACAGTACAACGTTTACTGCCTCCACTGCTCTGACAATGCGGGACAACTCCAGAACTCCCATCGCAGAGGCCCGAATGGCCCGCCCATTCGCGCGGAATGCCAGATCGCCTCAAGTTCCGCAGCAAAGCGTCTTGCACCAGATAGGATGCGGTCGATGCCGATCATGATTATCGTGATGACGGTGATTGTGATGTGTGGTGCAACGCATACGGTTGGACATGAGGATGCGGACAACTGTGGCGAAGAGTGCTCAAGCGCTCAAATTTAGGACTCGAGTACGGTCGACCCACTGCATAAGATCGAGGTCGGTTCGGGGAGGAGGAGAACGAGAAGGAGGAGGAGGACGACGAGGAGGGAGACAAGACGGAGGAGAAGGGGGAGGACGAGGAGGAGGAGGAGGAGGAGGAGAAGGGAGGAGGAGGGGGAGGAGGGGGAGGAGGACGAGGAGGAGGACGAGGAGGAGGAGGAGGAGGAGGAGGAGGAGGAGCGGAGCAGGACAGCGCAAAGCGCGCCACTGTCCGCCGGGCGGCGGGGCCCGGGAGGCCGGCGCGGGCGGGCCCGAGCCCCCAACGCGAAGAGGCGGGATGCTCTCGACCGGTGGCGCGGTGAGCTGCAGCTGCCTGGGATCTGCTCTGGCGTTGCATCCTCGGGGGGACCTCGTCTGCCCCGTCGAGGCGCTATCCGCGTCGGATGCGCGTCGATTCCACGTCGGGCTCGTCGAGGCCGTGCCGAATCCGTGTCGGATCCGCGTCGAACCCACGCCAGATCCGCGTCGAGTCCGCATGGAGCCCGCGTCGGCCCCAAGAAGGGGCACCAATTTTGGGGACAGGCGAGGTCCTCCGAAGATGCAACGTAACTGCTCCATTTCGTGCTGCGGTGTGCCAGCACGACCTATCGCTGATCGATACTTCGACTAACCGTACGAAATCATCATCATCATCAGCATCATCATCATCATCATCATCATCATCATCATCATCATCATCATCATCATCATCATCATCATCATCATCATCATCAGCATCATCATCATCATCATCATCATCATCATCATCATCATCATCATCATCATCATCATCATCATCATCATCATCATCATCAGCAGCAGCAGCAGCATCATCATCATCATCATCATCATCATCATCATCATCATCATCAGAATCATCATCATCATCAGCATCAGCAGCATCATCATCACCATCATCATCATCAGCATCAGCATCAGCATCATCATCATCATCAGCATCAGCATCAGCATCAGCAGCATCATCATCATAATCATCATCATCATCAGCAGCATCATCAGCATCATCTTCATCAGCATCATCATCAGCATCAGCATCAGCATCGTCATCAGCATCATCATCATCGTCATCATCATCATCACAACCTATCACTAACAGTCCACAAGTAGTGAAACGGTTAACCTCGAGCAAATGGGCCAGGCTGAGGTCGAGTTTTCGAAAAAACGGCCCGTTGCAGTGCGGAACTGTTGGCTGCTTGACGAGATGCAATCTCGCATACTTCTTGAGTTCACGATAAATGCCACGTTAGAGATCCTTCTGCAACATGATGCGATGCCGCATGCTTGTTGGTGTCACAGAAGATGCCACGTGAGAGATCATTATGCAAAATGCTCTGCAATGACCAGATCGGCGTTCTGATCGCCAAGCGATGCGTTTACCAACGGATTCTCGCCAGGAACCCACTGAACAGGAGAGAAGCACTTGTTGTTCGCCAGCCTTTTGATGGTCGAGGCGACCTGGTATCCTGCGACTCTCGCACCCTCGTCGCCCCGAACTCTGAGGTCTCGGAAGACTCTTCTAGCCATCTCCTTGAAAAAACCTCATCTCCCTCTCGACATCCCCATGGTGATGGCGTTCTTCAGGCGCCACCAGGATACATGGCATCAAAGTCTTCACAGAGCGTCTCGAACTCGTCGCGAAAAGCTGCACTTTCAGCGATGTGCAGCCGCTGTGGTGCGAGTAGATTGCTTCCCCCGCCCACCGCGAGGGCCAATTTCGCATGCTCTGAGGTAGAGCAGGGCTCCCGATCTCCGCCACTAATGAAGGGGCCCAGGACACACAAATAAATACACACCAATACAAGGATTCCGCATATTTCCCTATATTTTCTGGGTTTTTGTCTTCGCCCCCACTTCCCATATTTTCCCGTATTTTCCTGGGAGTCGACGATTAATTGTGTCTGTGTGTTTCTTTCCCTCCTGAACTAATCATCTAATCTATGGCGGCGCAGTCGCTGGCCAGGTCGAGCATAAGCAAGTCAGCGCCCATGATCCGGATCAGATCGGGCACACATGCGATATCCATCCTCACGCACGGGTTGACCTTCAGCCACTTCGGCAGGTTGGCATGGGATGTGCTGGTGGCCTCTGCTGTGAATCACACAGCTCGCAGGTGAAAAACTTCACCGCTGATACTGCTGCGGGCGCGCAGCCACCTGCTCGAATACATCGCACCACATTCTCTGCACGAGAAATGTAATTACTCCGACGGAAGGACCCCACATGAGAATCTTCTGGGCGAATCTGGGAAAAGCCCTCACCGTCGTCCTCGTGGTTGGTGAGGCGTCCTGGCTTGTCTCTTCTGCGTCTCAGGAGCCCAAAAGTGACGACAGTTATAGGTTTCCGATGACCCGCTCGGATTAGTAACATGATCTGCGGGCCCCATACGGAGGGGGCTCCCGCCTGAGACTTCCTCGCAATTCACTCACAGACGAGGCTCCCGCTCGAGACTTCCTCCATATTCAAGTCTCAAGAGCCCAAATGACGACAGTTGCACGTTGCGGATGACCCGCTCGGATTCAAACATGAAGTGCGGGCCCCATAGGGAGGGGGCTCCCGCATTAGACTTCCTCACAATTCACTCACACACGAGGCTCCCGCCTGATACTTCCTCCATATGCAGGCCTCAAGAGCCCAAAAGTGACGACAGTTACACGTTGCGGATGACCCGCTCAGGTTCGAACATGAAGTGCCGGCCCCATAGGGAGGAAGCTCCCGCCTGAGACTTCCTCACAATTCACTCACACACGAGGCTCCCGCACGAGACTTCCTCCATATTCAGGTCTCAAGAGCCCAAAAGTGACGACAGTTGCACGTTGCGGATGACCCGCTCGGATTCGAACATGAAGTGCGGGCCCCATAGGGAGGGGGTTCCCGCCTGTGACATCCTCACAATTTACTCACAGACGAGGCTCCCGCTCGAGACTTCCTCCATATTCAAGTCTCAAGAGCCCAAAAGTGACGACAGTTGCACGTTGCGGATGACCCGCTCGGATTCGAAAATGAAGCGCGGGCCCCATAGGGAGGGGGCTCCCGCCTGAGACTTCCTCACAATTCACTCACAGACGAGGCTCCCGCCTGATACTTTCCTCCATATTCAGGCCTCAAGAGCCCAAAAGTGACGACAGTTACACGTTGCGGATGACCCGCTCGGATTCGAACATGAAGTGCCGGCCCCATAGGGAGGGGGCTCCCGCCTGAGACTTCCTCGCAATTCACTCACAGACGAGGCTCCCGCGACTTCCTCCATATTCAGGAGCCCAAAAGTGACGACAGTTGCACATTGCGATGACCCGCTCGGATCAAACATGAAGTGCGGGCCCCATAGGGAGGGGGCCCCGCCTGAGACTTCCTTGCAATTCACTCACAGACGAGGCTCCCGCTCGAGACTTCCTCCATATTCAAGTCTCACGAGCCCAAAAGTGACGACAGTTGCACGTTGCGGATGACCCGCTCGGATTCGAACATAAAATGCGGGCCCCACAGGGAGGGGGCCCCCGCCTGAGACCTCCTCACAATTCACTCACAGACGAGGCTCCCGCCTGATACTTCCTCCATATTCAAGTCTCAAGAGCCCAAAAGTGACGACAGTTGCACGTTGCGGATGACCCGCTCGGATTCGAACATGAAATGCTGGCCCCATAGGGAGGGGGCTCCCGCCGGAGACTTCCTCAAAATTCACTCACAGACGAGGCTCCCGCCTGATACTTCCTCCAAATTCAAGCCTCAAGAGCCCAAAAGTGACGACAGTTACACGTTGCGGATGACCCGCTCGGATTCGAACATGAAGTGCGGGCCCCATAGGGAGGGGGCTCCCGCCTGAGACTTCCTCGCAATTCACTCACAGACGAGGCTCCCGCTCGAGACTTCCTCCATATTCAGGTCTCAAGAGCCCAAAAGTGACGACAGTTGCACGTTGCGGATGACCCGCTCGGATTCAAACATGAAGTGCGGGCCCCATAGGGAGGGGGCTCCCGCCTGAGACTTCCTCACAATTCACTCACAAACGAGGCCCCCGCCTGATACTTCCTCCATATTCAGGCCTCAAGAGCCCAAAAATGACGACAGTTACACGTTGCCGATGACCCGCTCGGATTCAAACATGAAATGCGGGGCGGGCCCCATAGGGAGGGGGCCCCCGCCTGAGACTTCCTCGCAATTCACTCACAGACGAGGCTCCCGCTCGAGACTTCCTTTATATTCAGGTCTCAAGAGCCCAAAAGTG